GAGATGAAAAAAAATATTTTCCTTTAAGTTGAATAAACTAACCTTACAGCCTGAGTGCCATTAAAGCTAGAATACTTTTAGACAGTAAGTGGTCCAAACATTTGTCACAGAGTTCAAAACCTTTGAATATCAGGTACATACTAAAAAGTCAAATAAAATAAAATAGTAAAAAGTCAATATCATCTCTAAAGAAAGTTAATACTCAGGCTTCAACAATGGAAAAAAATACCATTTCTTACAGGCAAGTTAGGGAACTTAAATGAATGTTGTGAGGCAAGAGCAAAAAGAGCACAAGATTAACGTACCCACGTCCTCTTAAGCATTTGTTTGGCTACCAGCCTGCATCATATCAAGTGTTAAGGAGCAGCAGTTGAAACAAACTGTATTTTGATCAATGTACTTAAGACAACAAATGGATAGCTCTTCTCAGTGTTCTTCATACATGATACCAGTCATTTTTAGTACAAGTGTTTCCAAGGCTTTTGAATGCATTTTCTCTCACCAGATCACTAACATAACACTTTGCCACTTAAAAAACAAGAACTACACACCTGTAAATCCTTCCACACCCTTGGGGCTTTCCTCCTGGTTGTGCTTTATGGATACAGATTTAGGTCTTCATCTCTAAGATAAGTTTTTATTTTATTTTCCACATCTGCAGCATGCTTGTATAACCACCCAGCCTGCCTTTTTCTAAAATTAAACACTGAAAAGAGCTAAAACCAGCAGTTTATGTCCTCCATTAAAAGGCAAATCTGGTTCTCTTAACTCCCAAGCTCATCAGAGCCTGAAAACAACTCTCCTTCATAGTTCTCTGCTCTGCCAAACCTCTCAGTCTCTTTATTCTTCCTCTAATGAATTACAACTAAGTTGTTTTTTTTTTCTACAGTTTTACATTAGGATTTCTGTAATGCAGTTCCAGCTATGCTGCCTCTAGTTTTATCTGGATTTCTAAAATATATTAACAAAGAAATCCATATTTAAATTTCATTGCTTTTTAAAATAATGTAGACAATTTAATGCTGCCCTTTAACAACTCACTGAAATCCAAATACAAAAGGAAATTGACATGCAAATCAAATACAAATGAAGCACTAATATAAGCAGCATTTTAGAATTATAAGGTTATCACAAAGACATAGTAAGTCTAATATACAGGCACTATAATTCATTACAGAATTTACTCTTCAGAAAATACCTATTTTACATGCTGTCAGCATCTTTGCATTGCTGTTTACTAAGATGTTAAATGCCTCACATCCACCCTGCTATGCCCAATGATTTTTACAATCCCTTTCAAAACAGTTATTCTGCTTATGTTACTTTTGCCTTGACTTCTGATTCAAAAAGGGACAGGTAAGTTTCACTTTCCAGGCTATGCACCACAGTCTCTCAAAACACATTTCAGAGTTCAGTAAATTCTGTATACTTATTGACATTAAGTTCATTCCACAAAAAAAGTACCTCCTGACAATTTTGAAGAACTACATTTTATTTAGGTACATCTAGTAATAAAGCTGGAGATTTTATTAACACAGATTAACTATTTGACTCTGTCAAATAGTTACAGATCTCAACTACTATTATGCTTTGTATAATAAGTATATTGTATAATGTTTATCAAGAGTACTATAGACACGATAACACTGAATCACTTCTCCTTCGGTTTATCAACATTTATAAATAGCAACAGGATGAACTGATGTTTAAGGAAGATATATCCTGAAAAATATGTGTCATATATAGAAAAAAAGGAGAAATTTCCATCTTGCAATGCAAATGCCCTAATTAGGAAAGACCTCAGTTTTATTCACAAAGTCTCACATACTCAGAAAACCCACAGCATCACTACTGTACTTATGACAAAAATTGTGAACTATTTAGTGGGATCTTGATGCCATATAACTATTTTTAGAAATTATTTAGTAGTAGTCGGAAAGTTACCGAAGTTTTCCATTGGTTCTCATATCACGATTAACCCGATGAGTAAGCAAATCTGTACCCCACCACCAGCTACGGGAAAGTCAAACTGAGGGGCTTATACTTTTCTTGGCACCTCCTCTACTGACCGAAAAGCAAATCTAGAAGGCTCCAGGCTCTTGCTCTGGAGAGCACGGAAACGAGACAGAAGCTCCCCTGGCATCACCCTCCCGGGCCAGACCCTAGCGAGCCTCGACTGAGCCGCACCACAAAAAGCAAGGCCGAGCCAGACCACGGCAACGCTGAGCGACGCAGTCGCTCCTCCAAGCCGGCCAGGCTCGCTAAAGATCGCAGCAGACGGGCCTAGCTGCAAGTGGGAGCCCAGAGCGACCCAAAGAGCAAACAAATCTACCAGACCGAGCTGCAGTGTCGCCCCTTTCCCGCATCGTCCCCAGCGCCCTCTCCCAGCCCCCCCAGTGCCCCCTAACCTCTCCGGCCCCTCCGCCTT